GTTAATATTTGTTGCATCTCCCCATAAGACCAAATTACAAGTCAGAACAGACTTAACAAGAGCACAGTAAACATCTAACAGTTGTTCTTCACTCTTTATTTTTTAATCTGCATTAAGACATAGAAACTGCTATTAAGTCTTTCACTCACGTAGTCAACTTGAAATTGCCAATTCAATGAGTGGTCGATGTGAACTGCTAAAAACTTTGTGGATTCTGAAGGGTATATATTCGTGTCATTTATAATAATACGTATGGGATGTTCCACAGATTTTCTTGGAGAAAACTGTACCAGTACTGTTTTTTTCTGCATTGACCATAAGTCTATTTCTTTGACACCACTTTGAGAAATTTAGACTCATTACATTCAATTTTTCTTGAAGTTCCAAAGGACTGTCGGCTTCTGCGGAAATAGAAGTATCATCGGCAAAAAGAACTATCGAAGTAGTGCCGATATGTTGTGGTAAATCATTTATGTATAGTAAAAACATTAATGTTCCCAAGAATGAGCCTTGTGGAACTCCAACTTCCAAGTCATAAGTACTCGAGTTAACATTATCCCATTCTACGTGCATCTTTCGAAATTTCATGTAAGACATAATCCAAGATAGAAATTTAACTCGAATTCCAATTGCAACAAGTTTCTTGGCCAGTATATCGGAGTTTATAGAATCAAAAGCCTTTGATAAATCGAAGAAGAGTGCGGCCACAAACTTTCCTTTGTCAATTCCTCTATAGATATTTTCCAAGAAAGCTGTAGTCGCACTTTCTATCGATCTACCGGGGCAAAATCCATGTTGACATTTGTTAATTCCATTATGTTTCGTTAAGAAAGGAAGTAGTTGTTCATAGATACATGTTTTAATTACTTTGCTCAACACACTAGGAATAGTTATTAGTCGGTAGTTGTCAATCAACAAGGAAACATTTCTTTTCAAGAGAGGAACAATTTTTCCTAATTTCAAAATATTTGGGAAAATGCCTTCCACAGATTTTTTGGGAAAGATTTCTTTCCCAAAAAATTAATCTCTCCTGAAAATATACACCTTTCAATTGAATTGTTTGCTTTCCGATATTAGACGTAAACATAAACTTTAATATTTCAAATAACAAATTATCGAAGTATTCCTGTCATGATGAGTAAGTAATCTTTATTTGAATTATAGCAGCTAGTAAACGTGTCATAAAATGAAAGGAATTGCACTCTATAATTCCATCACTGAGAATTAATGATGGCATCTTCTGAAATATTTCAGTTTATCGATCATTATTTCAAAACGGATTAGTGATAAACTTGATTATTTTGTTAGGTTTTCATCTGACTGAAATTACTGAAAAAACAATTTAATCTTTTTGATATTCGGATCTAAAACAATGTTCTTATTGTGTCTACTCTACTAACGAGTATACAGAGTGGTCCAACGAAAAGTATGCACCTTGCTTTTCTCCTTTTTTTGTAACTTAACGCAAAAATGCTCGGACAGGTCAATTTTGCTTTTGAGGGAGACACATTTTAGATGTATTTTTCTACCTGTGCCTTCAACCCCCTAGCGAGGGTGAGTAACAACCCTAAAATTTTAAATGGAAAGAGGGGTCGAGTGATATATCATTTGAAAGGGCACAAAATTATCTTTCCAATGATACCTAACTTTTTGTATTTCACCCAAACATGTAGGTATTATGAAGAAAAACAACTACAACCCAGTACTTTGAAATGTGTAATTGACTTAGTAGAATCCCACTTCAGCAAGTGCTGAAAATGTGACCCCTTTGCTTCCATACAATAATACAGATTTTGTTCAAATCTATTCCTAACATTCTGTAGCNTTGAAAAAAAAGTGCAAATTATTTAGAATTACATATTTATCAATAATTTATAAATTATATACGGCGTGTTTTCAATCGGGATTACAGGTTGGCCTCGAATGATAATCTAAATAGTTAAACACTGCTGGCGATCTGCCCTCTATCTCAAAAATGGTTCAAGATATAGAAAAAATATTTAAACAAAAGTTGTAGACAATTTATTTCTCTTCAATATTTGTGGTAAATACAAATGGCATAAAACCCATAGAAAAAGAGTTATTTGCAATAAATGTGTAAAAAATCGGCTCTTTGACTTATGACCTTAGAATATCTATAGTTGCAGACACCCTACGATTAGTAGGCTTTGAAACAAGTTTTAGGGTGTCAAAATGAAGGTTGTCTATCGCTCATTCCGAGGTGAAACCCCTAATATTCCGTTGTATGGGTTAAGAAACCCGTAAACAACTAATAACTTTATTTCGGTTCTAATTAATCGTCGTCTTTTCATTCCGTTTTCAATACTACCGGATAGAAAATGACTGGTCCCTGTCCAAGATACTGATTTATAGTTATTTAATATTTCCCAAAATAACATGGTCACCAGGTGTTGAGTTGTTGGCGCCTACGATATCAGTATGTAATGAAGTTATTCCTATATTTATGTCTTTCGAGATAAACGACTGTTTTATTGCTTATGGCTACCAAATTTCATCGCTCATGAAATTAATTTACAAAGTAATTATGGTTATCATAACTGTTCTTCTGTAATTTTCCTTCTGATTCGAATGAAAAAAAATCACCTATGTTTTCATTTATTGCCGAAATTAGTTTTAATCGAAAAAATTATGCGGAATTATAAAAGTAGTAATGAAAATGGCACTTTAGAGGAATTTAAGTGTGGTGTAAAGTAGTTCGGGTTAAATTATTTCCTTCAAGGAAAATTTGGTGTTATTCACATCAAAGGATTGTTATAAGTGAATTCAGTTGCTTGATTTTTTATTTCTGAAGATTCTCTCAAATATTCTTGATCATTAATTTGATTCCGTTGTACTTTTTGATAACGCTAATTTTCGAATAAATGTCGAGAAAATTACTGGTCTATGCAAGGCACTTTTCAAAAAATATAGGAAGAATTGCTATGAAAAACCTAGAGACATCGATTCAATTCACCGTTTATATGATATAAAAATTTGTCGAGAGATTTGTAGATAAACAATAATATATTACGAAACTTGATTCTAACTAAAAAAAAATTACAGCTTGTCAAATCTAGAAAGATACTTGAGAATTCTCTCCCTCTTTCTCGACATTTAGAAAGCTCTTTCTACATTTGACAATCTGTGTATGTTTTTTTACAAGTAGTTAACTCTCGCTACAACCTTTTATATCATATTAATTGTGTAGTGTAATGGAATTTGTTAGAAAATCTGGTTTCCGTTAAGCAGCTGACGCCCCCGAGCATTAACGAGGTCTTATATCTCAACGTGGGATTCCTAGCACGTTACGTTCAATTTAAAGTTTATTTTCTTCCTTCAACAGCATATAATTGAAATTCGTTTTTGAAAATGCTTTTTTACTAAGTATTTATTATTGTCCTACAAAGATTAAAGGAGGTGAAAGGAACTCGACTCGAGTATGTCTACGTGCTTATTGGTTCATTCATTCAATTGTTATCTTGGAATAGTGACTTATAACGTTGTCATTCACAATTTTGCAGGTTCAGATGAAATATTGGTGTTTTTTATAAAAACGATTAATGTGTCTCGTGAATTGAAACTCATCATTCTGAAACTTCAAAAAATAATGTAACACCTGTTCACAGTTCATCTCCAAATATTCAGTAAACAAACTACGAGAACATGACTTGAGAACATAATTTTGTATGTTATTTTCAACAAACATAATTTGCACATTTACTTGAACGTACGTTGTGTGTATTTTTCAACAAATTTTTATTTCGTTTTTTTTGGAAAAACAGTATTTTCAAAGATGGTTACTTTGAGAATCAGTTGAACGCCTGTCATTCTAAATTAAGAAATCTTGGTAACTGTTAGCATCTTTCTAAAAGCATAGTTTTAACACAATCATAAAATACTTTGTCACTTGTGATTTTTTTAACTACATTTGGCAGCTTATTGAAGCACGTAATGGCATTATACTGAGGGGATTTTTTATAGCTTGTCATGAGATGCTGTGGGATTTTTAGAAGATCACCATTTCTTGTATTATGACTGTGTTCTGAAGCAGTCTTATCATATAATTTATGGTTTTGCCTAACAAATAAAATACATTTAAGAATGAAGATGGAGGGGGCTGTCAATATTTTTTTGTCTATAAAAACGGACCGGCAGCTATCCCGGAAATCCATATTAAAGATTAGCCTTATGATGCGTTTCTGTGCTATAAAGACTCTGGAAAAATCCCTTGCTCTGCCCCAAGCCTTAATATTCAAACTTATATGAGGGTAGGCCATGGCATAATATATGCTGAGTTTCAGTTGTTTTATGGCATAATATGCTCTATTTAGCTTAGCACATATGAAGTCCACCTGCCTATCCCAATTTAGACTGGCGTCTAGATAGGTCCCTAAAATTTTTATTTCTTCAGAAGTTTGAATATTATAGCTAGAGCGTCAACCAATTGGAATATTTCTTCTGAAGTTTATTTCTTTGGCACTAGGCACTGAACTGATCAGTAATGTGTTCAGATTTGCTGATGAGTTTCTCAGCATTATTGCCTGCTATAGTTATCGTTATATCATCAGCAATCATTGTGACGTAGCCTCACTTTATATGTTGAGGAAGATCATTGACAAAGAGAAGAAACACTAGAGGTCCTAGAACAGAGCCCTGTGGCACCCCGAGTTTTACCGTCTTTGACTCAGATGTCGATCCATTGCAGATTACAACCATCTTTTTGTCATATAGGAGTGTATCCAATTTATCATATAATTCAATTAGGTATTATTTTATTTGATGTACATTTATCTTACACACAGTTTCACTCCCATTTATTCATAATTGTCTATATTGTAATTCCACAAACAAGTATGTGGATAATGTTATGTTTATTCATTTTTATACTATTCCAAATCTGATATTACTGAATCAATTTACTTTTTACCACGAATAAACGTTATTATTATTATTATTATTATCAAACCAAGTGTACTGATTCCAATCGTTCTATTTTCCAGATAATGGACCATGCTTAGGATGGCGAGAGTCGTACTCAAAACCATACCAATGGCTCAATTATAACGAAGCTCTTCTCAGAGCTAAGAATTTCGGTTCCGGACTAGTAACCGGTGGTTTGGCACCTGGTCCCAATACCATTTTAGGCATCTATTCTCAGAATTGTCCCGAATGGATTCTCACAGAGCAGGCTGCATATTGTTACAGCATGGTGTTGGTACCTTTATACGACACTCTTGGTCCGGACGCGTGTGCCTTCATCATAAAACAAGGTTAGTGACTCGAGTGAACATTTTTATTTTGGATCGTAGACGTAGAAGAAAGGTTTTAGCTTTCTATTTTATACAAAAAATAGGATAGGGCTGTAGTTATACATTCGTAATGAATCATATATACAGTTTCAAAAACCAATCGAATGTTATTAATTTTCAGCTGAAATCAATACAGTAGTTTGTGAAGACGATGCAAAATGTAATTTGATGCTCGAGAAGTCTCCTAGGTGTTTAAAAAAACTCATTGTCATTAAGGAGGTTAGACCGGCGACGAAGCAACGGGCGAAAAATCGTGGTGTGGAGATCATCAAGTTTGGCGACGTGGAAGTGATGGGGGCCAAAACGAACCATCCAGAAGTGGTGAGCATATTTTCTATCATCTAAGAAAAATTTTAAAAAAAATGTATTTGATGTTACGAAAGCGCACAAGGGCCAAATTGTTTATTGGAAATTCCAACTTGAAATGCAAAAATTTTGACTTGGAACTCGAAATTTTGACCTCAGTCCCGAAATTTCGGCATTAATCAAAAAAATTAGGACTAGAAACTCGAAATTTCGAAATTAATCAACTGATTGAAAAAAATATTCATTTTAATACATTTTCCATATATGCACTCATGCTTTTCATCTTTCCGAAATTATTAGATATTGGAATGTCGTTGCTGAGACTTCGAAAAATAACGTTCTTTCTCGCAGTCAATGCACATATCAGTACTGATGATGTCTGACGCAGCTCAGACGAAACATTTGGTACTTTGGTTTTGTTTTCTTCAATAGTGGATAAGTTGATTTCGAAACGAATATTTAATTTGTATTTTTTCTGATTACTTCTCTGTTTCGGAGCGTTGTTCATGAAATGAGTTATACAGTGTCATCCCAAAAGTATGCATCATATGGGAAACTTATTTATTAAAGGTTTTTTGACAAAAAGTAATTGTTGATAAAAGTTTTTGCATCCCCTAAAACTAAACATGCACCAACAAAATACATTTAATCACACGTAATATACGAGGAGCCTTCAAATATTTGATTTTGAGTAAAGTACTCTTATTTTGAAAAATCTCGGAGAATGTTATTCAGAAAAGTTGATCAGCATTAAAAAATACATCTAGATTTGAAGTAAAGTTTTATTTTTTACCCATTTTTTTAAACGGGGACTACGAAAAAAAATGCTGAAACGATAAATAGACAGCATCCTGTATGTTGAAGAGAAACAGCACTCCCATTCACGCCGGTTGGAGGCCAGGGTGGACCGGATGTCCACGTGGGAGTGTTATAGTGGATGTATATAACTCCTGTCCCCATTCACGCCGGTTGGAGGCCGGGTGAACCGGATGTCCACGTGGAGACAGGATTTTACCAAATAAATGTGTTAATTATGTGTAAAAAGTCTTGAAGTCTCCAAAAAATATTGAGTGTTTTTTTTTATATAATGAAAAATTTAGATACACCAAATCTAATTGAGAAAACAGAAGTCTTGGATTACAGCATGATTCACAATCAGACCAAGCTGTAACCATCCGAATCGAGCTGGCTAAATGCGCCTATCTGGAAGCAAAGGCCAAGAACTTTGAGTAAAGTGAAGTGAAGTGAAAGTTTTTGGTGCAGTTATTTTTATTTTTTGTTAACACCGAAAATTACCCAAAATTATACAGTATTCTAACAAGGACTTAATATTCAATAATATCAAATCACAAAACATCAAAATAAAATAGATATTCCACACAAACACATTGATTTTCTGGAGATTTTCTTGTCTAAAATAATTCTTATATTCGCTTTGAAAACAAAAGTATGTTTTCGAAAGTATTTTACATCTCAGCATGATGTCCATCCCGCAACATGCACAGTTCGGTTCTTCTTACACAATCCTTGACTGCATTCGTAATGTGCTCCGGTTGAATGGCCCTGACACAATTAGTAATCACAGTTTTTAAATGTTCTCTATTCCTAAAAGGACGATGTATGTAAATTTCGTTCTTCAATGAACCCTATAAGAAGAAATCCAATGGGGTTAAATCTGGTGTGCGCGCTGGCATTAGATACTTGAGTAACGTCCTATCCATTTTCCATTAAAGTGTTAATAATACTGCCTGTTTCTATGAATTTACTCAAAATACGGGTAACTGTAGTATGAATCACATCACGATTATGATGTCTGGCATTAAAAATGTCTGTAATTTGTCTGTTTGGAATATTTTCCCCACACAACAATATAATCTTATTTATTTTTGTAAGCATCTTGATATTATTTAATATTAACATCCCTATTTAGTGCATTGTGTAGATCGCTTAGCGCTGGATTGTCGTGCGCTCGAATTCTGTCAAACGTGTCTTCTGCATGTTGTCTCATATATGCGTCTACGTAGTGTTTTTTCAGGTCTAGATCCCGTAATATGTACCTATTCGGTTCATATCTTAGAGCGTTTATGGTAGCCGTTACACACGCGTTCATAAACGACTGGATCTGTCTTCTGTATGTCGCTGTGCATTGGCCCCAAACAGCGCAGGCATACAGGATTATCGGTAATATTACGGTCTTTATCATCAGCAGCTTCACTTTCAATCTCGTGTTGCTTCTTCGACCTATTATTGGTAATAGGTTTTGTCGGGCAGATCTCGCTATTCCTATTCTCTGTCATACGTGAGACCTGAACGTTAATCTTTTGTCTAGGTTGACCCCCAAGTATCTAGCTTCGTTGGTCCACGGAATCCCTTGTCCGTTGAACCTGACGTTTCCTTCCGGGTGTACCATCCTCCGGGTGAACAGTATTGCCTGACTCTGGTCAGGGTTTATACTGATCTTCCACAGGTTGGCCCATTCCTCTAATCTGTCTACCTGTTGCTGCAAGTATCTAGTGACGTGCGCTTGGCTTGTTGATCTCGCCAGCAGAGCTGTGTCGTCCGCGTAGAGTTCCAACTTGTTGAAGTTGATCTCCGGCTTGGGCATGTCTGCTGTGTATGTATACCGAGAAGAGGCGTGGCGAAAGGACTGCACCTTGTGGGACCCCTGCTTCCAGTAATCGCATTGCTGAGAGTTCTTGTCCTACTCTGCAGCGGCATCGCGAGGTCTAAAAAAATCGCTCCGGTTCGTCCCTTAGCAATGTACCTGCTGCTGTTATAGCATCGGAAGAGCCTCAGCTCTGTTCCCAAACTTGTGTATTGGTGCGGGGATAGCTTTTTCATTTCACTAACCTCTTAAAAGGAAGTACTTTCTGACCAACAACACATTGGTAGGAGACTAGTGTTACCATCAAGTATGCATTGATCTGAAAGGCACCACCAGTTTCGTATCTTCATGTTTAGACTTTTCAGGGCGCTGATATGCGTTTTTTTTCATAAATTCCGGGAGATGTTTCTGATTATCTTCACCACACTCACCGTTTTCACTCTGGTCAAGAGATAGATGTACTCAGAATATTTCACATTTGTACTTTCCAAAAATATGGTAATCCCTATCTATTAAACATTTGAAACTTCATGGAAATAATTAATTTTCAATGTCCTAGATCTGATTTCTATGCCGGGGCGATACAAACATGTATAAATTGAAAAAGGTTTAATTTTAGGAGTTATTAGTTTTTGGGAAAAAAGGTTTTGGCTTTTACTTCTCTATCTTCATATAAAAAATTGTGAGAAACTTCCAAAGAATAAGAAAGCAATTGAGTTTAAAATAAACTCTTTGCAAAGATGTGAGGAACATGCATAAAAGTTACTTTCTGATACAAACTGGAAGAAAAGCCCCTTCCGAAACAACTAATTTCATGTGAAAATTGAATTATATGAAAATTTATTACATGGAACTCTATCAGTCTCAATAGCGGACTTCGAAATTTCGGAATAAAGCACTTGTGCAAGAAAACTGGACGTGAAGCTACTTATACTATACANTCATTATTTATTGTTTCAATAAAACTATTTCATAAGAATCAGAAAAAACACGCTGAAAAAACTCTGGGAGAGTTTGGTGTTAAATAAATACCGTATAAAAGCCTAGAATCAATTTCGTTTGATGAACAAATTAAATATTCCTTCAAGGAAAGTAAGTTGCATATATTTTTGAATAAATGGAATAATAATGGGATAATTTATCATGGTTTGGTTGTATTTACCGTTAGGAATTTTTAATTAGCACCATGAATATCGCAGTGGCTCCTCACAATAACTACATTTGCCTTGAACAGACAACGTGTAACCTCAGGGCTAGAACCAGAGTGTCACCAAGATTTAGCCAAAGCCTCGGTAGATAATAACATTATCCTAAGGTAGGTTAAAGGGCACAACAGGAGTAAAGGTAATGGGCTCATTAAGGCTAATTTAGGTTTTTATTGAAAATTATATATTATAAAAGTAAATCATCTCCCAAGTATCTCACAAAATTTTCCGGTTTTTATGTCGATTAGCAACTGAGCAAGAGCAATTGAAAATGTAATATCGCCCGCGGCACACCAGGCAACGAGCCTCGAGCGGTGGCAACCGGGCTTGTAGTTGGAGATTATGAATCGCTGCCATCGTCGGATTTTCTTTCATTTGCTGACTGGTTTGAAAACACCACGTGTTACATATTCACGCAGTTGATACACTGCAGTAAACAACACACAACTTGGTCTCTATGGCTTCAGTACACGTATGTATTTCGCTTATCCGCCAGCACTCCCTTGTCGCCGAATCGGCTGAAGTGACGTCAAGTTTGACAACGCCCCGTTTCTGTGAACGCCACATTCAACTATTAATTTGAAGGGTAAGATAAAGAGTGAAGATTCAGATTTTTTGCAGATGTACTCGGCATTGCCGACTCTTTAGCCAAGGAAGCGGCTGGACTAAGAATTTTGGGACCCAGTGGCACCTACGGCCTGATTGCTTCGACAATTGCGGAACTAGCCAAATATGTTACACCCATGCTCAATCCCTAAACAGATGGGATGGAATCAAAGTATGCAATCTTGCCAGGATTACCTTGGGCGACCCTGGGAAGCTGGCGCCGAAGAAATATATGACGATGACCAGGAAAAATCTGCGCTTAACAGTAGGATTTCTGACTGGCCACTGTCAACTAAGGAAACACCTCCATAATATGGGGCTAGTGGACACACCTCTATGCAGTATGTGTGAACAGGAAGATGAGACTGTCAGGCATGTCCTATGCGAGTGCCCGGAGTTATCGTCAATGAGTGTGTGTTCGGCGAGTCTTGGCCTCCAACTGCCGATATAAAGGAGATGTCTCCCAGTGACCTATCCACCTTCCTGGAAAGGAAAGGATGGACGAGACCTAGGAGGACAACTCCTCGGGAGGATGTACAATGGGTCATATGTAGCCTAAGTGCTGTGGGCTTACACTCACCCTCCCTACTCAACAGATACAGAGCTACATTTGAAATTGTTATTCAAAAAGTAAACCAATTTCAGGTCCATGAAAATTTCACTTCATTTAAGTATATAGTTCTGCCACTTTTCTCTACTTCAATTACATTTTTTTTTCAGCCACCAAAACCGTCAGATTTAGCAACAATATGTTATACCAGCGGAACGACAGGAAATCCCAAGGGTGTGATGTTGACTCACGAGAATATAGTGGCTGCTAATAGTGCTGTACAAATGCAGTTCGGAGACCACAAACTCAGAAGTTCCGATATCATGATCTCGTTTCTACCTTTGGCGCACATGTTGGAAAGGTGTTGTGAGGTAAAAAAAACAAATTCTCTGTATTTTTTCAACTTTCTCAACCTCAGTGTAATTCATTCATTTAGATTACTCATATTCAAGATAACTACTCCTTGTTTTGGATTGATTAGATATCTTTATTAACTTTTACCAATACTTCATCATCTATTTTCTTTTGTTATTATTTAACATGTATAAAACTTTGTTATAGAATGCAATGTATTGTGTGGGTGGTGCTGTAGGATTCTTTTCGGGTGACGTAAGAAGGCTGTCTGACGATATGAAAGCTCTGAAACCGACCGTTACTCCTGCAGTTCCAAGGCTTCTCAACAGGATATATGATAAAGTTCAATCAGACATTAATGGAAGTTGCATCAAGAAAATGCTCTTCAATATGGCAATAGGTTCGAAAGAAAAAGAGGTTAAAAGGTTAGTAGCTCAAAAACGGTTTAGAAACCAGGGGCGACTCGTCAGAGGAGGCAAAAGAGGCTTAGCCTCCCCATAGAATTTGAGGCTATTCATCGCAATAAATTAAAAGATATCGACAAATAATTATGATTATTTTTTTCTACAAATGCTTGGGTACCATTACTTTGCCATTAATTTTTAATATAAATACATAATATGCCCGAAAAAACACTATCACTCACTACGTAGTACGTACCACACTGTATCCTGCATCAACAAAATTCAAACGCACCGCCCATGAACGAATAAACTATCAACCCGAAATAATAAATGCCATACGTTGCAAGGGAGCCAAGTCTCCGACCGCTTTAAAAACACAGGCTCTACGAGACCGATCCAACCAGCGACTTACGTCCCGATTTGTAATTTCAGTTGCAGAAATTATAGCGTCAGAGGAGGCTAGCCTCCAGTTGGTCTCCGTTATGTACGACTGCGTTTGTTTTTTATTTAATTATTCGGACGGGTTACTGTCACGGACCGGGACTAAAAAATATTCCTGTAAATCGTTTTAGTGTTTCTTGATAATAGTTGTGTATAAAACAGGCTGTATTATATTATAGCAGTGCTTTTTGGTAATATTTTTAATGTGTTTTTAAAGTGTTTTCTTTCAATTTCAAGGTGTTTTCAGGTTTTCACTTTATGAATTTTTATTTTTCTCAAAAGATATTCACTTATTCATCAATTTCTATTTTGTACCCTTCAAAGAGGTCCCCCTCAGATATAATACACTTGTCCCAGGGTTTTTTCCAATCCTTGAAGCAGTTCTCATATGCACTTTTTGCTATGTCTTTGAGCACTCTCAGCGATTTGGTTTTTACCTCCTCAGTCGTCGCAAAACGCCTTCCTTTTGTGGTTCTTTTCAATTGCGGGAACAGGAAAAATTCGCAGGGGGGCAAATCTGGTGAATACGGTGGCGGAGGCATGATTTATGCCTCTGATCAATAAACTGAACATGCTAAACAGCTGAAACTGTTAATATATGTTCGAAACGAGTATACCAACATAAAAAAATTAAAAAAAGCTAATCGAATGTACGTAGACCGTAAATTCTGATCACTTACCTTATTTTTTGAACAGTTCATGTCATTTTTTAAATTTCACTCAGAATTTTGTCGTTTTTTTCAAAGGACTTATTTTCATAGCCGAAATTTGTATTCACAGGGGCATAGTGCGGACGAACAGTTTCTGGGACATGTTGGTCTTCAGGAAGGTCCAAGAAGGTATGGGAGGAAAACTTAGATTAATGTTGGTTGGTTCGGCTCCCCTGTCTGAACATGTGCTGAATTTCATCAGGTGTGCCTTAGGATGTGTGGTAAGTTTCTATTAGATTCGGATAAAATGTATTTTTTGGGAAAGGTACTAAAATTTAGGTGGTTTGGTTTAATACAGATTGAATTAGAGTTTTTCAGTAATAATATGATTATTTTGTTCCTCAATTCATGAAAAAGAAGTACTTTTATGCACTATGAAGACAAATATTGAACATATTATTATAAAATATGACTTGGATAGATTTCAAAAAGATGGATACATGCTGCCATAAGTAATTTTTGAACAGCATAAAAAACTATTGAAAAAAATCAGAACTAGAGCACTTTCTTTTCACAAACAGAATCAACATGTTTTTATTTGGAAATGATTCCAATTTTATCAGAAAAAACTGTTTTTATTAGATATACATTTATCAACGAATAAAACAATTTTCTTAAATCTCTATACCAATTTTGGAAAGCTACCACTTTGTTGAACCACTGACTCAATTTCTTCAGGTTGTTGAAGGCTATGGTCAAACGGAATGTACTGCACCCATCACTCTAACAATCCAAGGGGACCACGTACCCGGCCATGTTGGCCCACCTGTCGCATGTTGTTGCGTCAAACTAGTGGACGTACCAGAGATGGAGTACTGGTCGAAGAATAACCAAGGGGAAGTCTGTGTCAAAGGAACCAACGTCTTTCAAGGATACTATAAGGATGCTGAAAAGACAGAAGAGGTGATAGATGATCAGGGGTGGCACCATACTGGAGACGTAGGAATGTGGCAACCTGTAAGTTTTCAAGGTTGCGATTATTCATTCAAATTCCAGTTGACTTTGAGTTTTTACACGATTACTTCAAAGAAATGATTATTTGGAGACCCATAGACATTATAATGTTAATTATTAGGGACTATTATGTTGCTCGCAGAAAATTATGTAATTGCAATACTGAACTATGTGTTCATTCATCTACACAGTAACAAAAGTAAAACAATTATATTTATTTGAGGTATTTGATTTTCTTACCGTCTATGACATTGAGCATATATGTGCGTTTCTTCTAAGATAAGAAACACAAAAGTATTCAAGTGAAAACTGAAAATATTGACTCGACTATTGATTTAATAGAACTATAATAGTTCAGAGTGAGTTCACATTGGCCGAGTTGAAGATTGGTTCATTAAAAATGATAATTTTATAGGTAGACAGATTTTAACATTCAATACAAATATTACAGTAACTAAATACAGCTCTGCTTGATTCGATACATTTATTTTGTTTCTTATTAGTCAGTGGGCTATGCTTGAAGACAGGCAGTGAACAAATTTAAAGAAATTAACTTTAAATTTTCAAACCAGTCTCAGATATACCTACACACTAGGTTGAATGGACTGACGCCTATTAGAAAACAACCACTCCACTGGCTAATACCACGAAGGGCGTTGGATTATATCCGACAGGCGTCAGTGTAGGAATATTCACAGAAAATTTCCTGCATATGCAAACACTGACGAGTGGCTAAGGAACCTGAAACCGGTCTGCAAGTGTGCCCTTTCCAAAATTGAAGGTCAACTCTTTCAGTTGTATTGCCAATTGCATATGCAGGAAATTTTCTGTGAAGATTCCTGCACTGACGCCTGTCGGATATAATCCAACGCCGTTCGTGGTATTAGCCAGTGGAGTAGTTGTTTTATGATAGGCGTCAGTCCATTCAACCTACTGTGTAGGTATATCCTAGATAGGCTTGACCATTTAAAGTTGATTTCTTTAGATTTAACTTATTTTGTGTTGTGTTGACACTATGTAGGGGTTATGATGAACATGTTGGTACAATCAGAAACAACCCAAAGCCTACAATAATACAGGAATTTAAAATATAATAGAATCGAAAATCACTAAAGTTTCTTCACAAGAAATAAATAGAATTGGATGGTTTAGAAGTTTACAATTACTAAATGGCAGATATTAATAGTAATCCATTCAAATTTCATCCGGATTAGTTTCAATCAATAAGTTTAGTAATGGCAATGACATCGCTATTAGAAATTTTTGGAACTGCTATTGTAAAAAAAACTATTATTCAACCAAACTACTTACCTGGTAGATAAACTGACCACTTCACTAACAGATTAATTAACAACTTTTCAACAACAACAGGTTTTCACTCAGCAATAAATTTAAATAAGCCAACTTAAATCGAAAATACAATTTCATTGAACTATAACTGGGATCCGTTTAGACGTACGCTAGGTCGATCTTAAACCATATACGGCTACAATTTGAATGCAATGTAGGTATTTGGCAGTGTAGAGGATTATATTTTTTATAAATTCATGTGAGTCAGATCATTTTTATTATTACTCGAATTTATATAAGAAAATATTACTTTGAAAAATTGATAGATAGATAGATTATGTAGGCATATGAAGGAATACTAAATTATAATTTTCTTTACAGAATGGTACCCTGAAAATAATTGACAGAAGAAAGCATATATTCAAATTGTCACAAGGTGAATACATCGTACCGGAAAAAATAGAAAATATTTACATTCGTTCGCAGTATGTTAGCCAAGTGTTTGTACATGGAGAATCATTAAAAGTGAGTACCGTTTAAATACCACCTTCGGTGGAAAAAGTCCTCAAAAATTCATCGTCACTAGCTTTTAAAACAAAATCTGAAGTAATCCATCCTTTTTTAAAGTCAAGTACTTATTTTGGATAATTTTGAGGTTATACGAGGGTTGTTCAAAAGTAAAGAAAATAGCGATCAGGGGCAAAGATCTGCACATTATGTTGTTCTCCATTGTGTTCTAACATTGTCAAGTCAATTGATGCAGTGATTAGCTTTATATTTTTTAAGAACTTTAGTTCTTCAGTTCAGTTACATAAAAGCAATTATCTATGAATTGCTGCTGAACAGGCAGTTCCAGTTCCAGATCACATTTACACTAATAGTTATATGCTTATACATCACTAACAATTAGATCACAAATAACTATTATTGCTCTTTATGTACCAGTAATATCCTCTGAGCCAAGAGGAAAATTATCCGCAATAGAATATCATCTTATACATACACAGTGGATTCTAGCCAAGGAGTTCCTCAGACAGTATAAATGAACAACATTTCTCATATATCTCCTAAAAAAGTAACGATAAATTTCAGCACCAGTGAGTTATGATAGTAATACTATTTTGATATTGAACAACATACTGTCAGACAATCACATCAGATTATTACAAATCGGTTCTAATGAAAAACGGCTTTACAACGCCAGCAAAATTTTACTTCATCATTACAATGCACATACTAGTGGATTTTTCAAATGATAGAAATATAGTGCAATTGAAGCCACTCAGGATACATTCCAGATTTGGTCATTGTAATGTCTGTCAGTCTGTCTATATATGTAGAGTAGGGAGGATGAGTGTAAACCCACAGCACTTAGGCCACATGTGACCCATTGTACATCCTCCAGAGGAGTTGTCCTCCTCGGTCATCGTCCATTCTGTCCTTTCCAGGAAGGTGGACAGGTCGCTGGGAGACATCTCCTTTATATCGGCAGGTGTAGGCCAAGACTCGCTGAACACACACTCTCTTATTGACGATAACTCCGGGCACTCGCACAGGACATGCCTGACAGTCTCATNCGGAAAATTTTGTGAGATACTTGGGAGATGATTCACTTTTATAATATATAATTTTCAATAAAAAACTAAATTAGCCTGAATGAGCCCATTATGATATAACTTTCTCTCTTTTCTCTCAGTTGATAACTCTCATTTAAACCAATAATACTTTATAATAACTAGATTATTCTGTTTGTGTTTTCAGTCTTCTATAGTAGCGATAGTAGTGCCAGACGTAAATGTGATAAAATGCTGGGCCCATGAAAATGGCATCCCAGGTACTCTCAGCGTGCTGTGTAATAATTCCGAGGTTAAACAACTCATCATGGACGACATGATTTCGTGGGGAAAAGAAGCTGGACTCAAATCATTCGAGCAAGTGAGTATTGATTGAATGTATGATTATATCAATATGGAAGTAACTTAGGGATCGGATCTGAAAACTTCGAAAATACTATCGAAGTAAATTGTGTACAAAATCTGTTGGTGAACCGAAATATTTGTGATATGCATTTTGAAGAATAATAATAATTTAATGTTGAACAGATAAAAAATATTGTCACATTTCAAACCCTCTTCTGATCAAAGAGGTGTTATTATATTATCATAATTAATGTGTGAGATAAAACTTTGTTGGCTTTATACCAATCGTTTGATTTATTGATTTATAATTTACATGTTATGTGAGACTATTGATGAAAAATAAACTCTAAGAGGTCTGGTAAAAAAATAAGGTGTATTTTCAAATTTCGCGGGCTAAGTTCATTCGATTAGCGACTTTTTTTTTTAATTGGTACACTGGTCGCGAATATATGTTCACAATT